GTGTGGTGGGTGGGGGTGTGGGCCCAGCCAATCACGTGTTTCTTTTTCTCTTCGTGCTCTCTTTCAGGAAAGACGCCTACCAAAAAAAAGCATCCCCCCACCTTGGCCCCAGTGATCATCCCACCAGAAAAGAAGATGCAGAGTGTGACCCCGGTGCAGACTGCGGGTCCGCTGCCCCTCAAAGTTCCTCTGGAGGACCCTAGCCCAACCTGGGTCCCCCAAGTGAGTGGGGGTGCCTGGGATTCCCCCCCAGAATAGGGGCAGAACTGTAGCTTTAGCGTCAGGGAGATGAGATGTTCTCCATTCTCTTCCTGCACTTTTACTCGGCTTACAGAATTCAAAAAGACTCTCTGGGGGCGCGGTGGCACTGTCTTTCCAGCTCCTTGGGAGACTGAGGCGAGGGCATGGGCCGCTAGAAGCCAGCTGGGGCAGCATAGCCAGCCCCTGTCTCTAATAACTAGAGCACCCCCGTCCTTTGTAAGTACATGGAAGTAGGGCAGGGCTCCCTGTACATAACTGTGGAAGGACAGCGAAGGCCCAGCCTCACGGCCCTGGTCAGTTCCACCACCCGGCAGGCTGAGGCCCTGGAGGCCCAGTCACACTCCTGGCCCACCCTAAGAGCCTGGGTGGTGGTGCAGCCTGTAGTCCCCACTACCTGTGAGGCTAAGGCAGGAAGGTCCCACATAGAGAGCTTGTTTAAAAATAACTAATACTGGGACCAGCAGTTGGTGTAATGGCTATGTCACTGGACTCCCATGTAGCTGACTGCAGTTTGAGTCCCGGACCTGGTGGCTTAAACTCATGCCGGGCGCGTGTGCGTGCGTGCCCAAGATCCTGAGAGGAGAATGGAGGAGAAGAGATTGTGGTGTGGCCATCCCCCCTGGGGGGTGATTTCTCACTTTCTATCTCTCCATCTCTGTCTTTCTGGTGAGTGCATGGGCCCTATAGTGAAAACCTCCCCCACCCAAAATAATAACTAGTACTAAAGTAAATTGAAGTAAAAGAGCAGAGCAGATCGAGGTGTCTCCTCTGAAGGCCAGTGAGGTGGGCGCTCCCTTTTCCTTCTCCATAAAGATTGGGCAAGACTTTTGAGCTCCATCCGAGGTGGGAAGGGACTTCCTCATTTCCCCATAAATGCTGGGTTGCTTGCTTGGCTTAGCTCCTCCAGGGGTGGCCAAGTGTCCTCCCCACACCTTGCAAAGGGAGGGAGCCCAGCTAAGTTCTGGAAGGTCTGAGCTGGAGCTAGGAAAGATTGGTGATGAGTCATGGCCATCCAGGCAGCCTCCTGAGTCACCCCCACCTGCCTCTCTCTTCTAGGCCCCAGGCTCCGGTCCAGTCATTTCTCCAGACCGGGGGCTGAGGACAGTTCGGACAGCCACCCAGGTGTGATGGAGCCAGCGTCCTCTCTGCTCAGGGCATTTGGGGCGGGACTTCCTGCTTCTCCCGCAGCAGGTGCGGCCTGACGAGGGGACTTAAAGAGTCCGCCTGTGTCTGTGCAGCTGGGACGGGACTCCCAGGCTAGGAGAGGCCCCGGCCGACCAGCAACCGACCAGCGGCGTGGTTTGTGACCTCAGGGGCTGCCTGGCAGGCAGGCAGGGGAGGAAGCCTGGGCCCGCTGCGAGAGGCCTGCCACGCTAGTGTAGCCTGCTCCGTCCAGCTCCTGGAGCCCATCTGAAGAGATGAGCCATGCCCCTCTTCTGTGTGGACAGACCCCCAGGGCCGCGTATCCAGAGTACCCAGTTCCTCGTGGTGGCCTTCAAGGCCATGTCGACCTCCCCAGCCTCCCTCCCGAGGTCGCCACCCTCCACTCTGGCAGGGTGGATTCTCTCAGACCAACGTGTGTCTTGAGGTCTTGGGCCCTGGAGTCGCGCCGCCTGGATTGTGTCTCTTCCCCGTGTCACTCACTTCCCAAGTCTAAGGCTGACCGCCCCCTCCTCGAAGACTTTCCTTACTCCTGGCTTGGCCGTGGGTTAAGTCCCGGAGTGCCCAGACTTCCCCCGGAGTGCATGTGAATATGTAACTACGCCTGCAGCTTCAGACTCCCTAAACCGGGGCCTTCCCGAGCCGTGGCGTTAGGTCACACCTCAGGCAGCCTGGCGCAGGGCAGAAAACCAATAAATCCTCGAGCGACCAGATGGCTGTGAGTGGGGACGTCGGCTCAGTTTTGCTCCAGCTGCTCAAACGACGCCATCAAGGACAGGTCCTCTGGACCTTGCACTCTGCACCCCAGTGTTCCCCACTCTGCTCCCCACAGACCCGCAATCCCAGAGACAGAGAACCCAGCGCTGCAGATCTCGCCCTGCCCTCGGTGGGCCACCCTGTCCTGCACATGAGTGTCCCTTGTGGGCCCACACAGCCTGGCTCCCTCTCACTAGCTGGGCCAGCACACTCCCATACTGAACTGATGGCCCGAGATGGGCTGGACCACGAGGCCCACCCCGTTTCAAATCTAGGAGGGAGTGGGGGACAGGAATCCGCCCCAGTCTTTAGATGACATGGGCCCCTCCAGACAGAGACTTTGGAAAAAGGCGTTTATTGGTGTGGTGGTCTCAACACTCCCCATGAATCGGAACACATTGCTGTAATTGCAAGATTGTCTCTCACTGGGGTCTCCTTTGTCTCTGTATCCAAATCTCCCTCTCCTTCCTTTAGGAACACACTGGGCATTGAATCTGGGGCTTGCTTAGACCTCACTCTAGCTTGGTTACGTCTGCAAAGACCCTGTTTCCAAAGAAGGTCACACTCAAAGGTATTGGGGTTTAAGACTTGAAATTTTCTTCTGGGGAGACTCAATTCAAGCCACCACACTCTTGCAAGCAGTCTTTTAGGAAACCAGCATTAGAGTCTGAACTGTCTTTAGAAGTTTATCATAACTATTATGAAAATGAGACACATTTTTAATGGTTATTTTACTTTCCTTCCATTCTAAGGTTCTCTGTAAATCAACAATCTTGTCCTATATACCAACAGTTTCCCACGGGGGCCACAATAATCTCAAACTGCCCTTGGTTGGATTGTGCCCACTTAGGAATGTAAGCAAATGAGTCAGCATAGTTGCATGCACGTGTGGTGAAGGTGGGTTCCACCAAGTGGAGACCAGCTGACAGATGATCCCATGAGAAAGGTATGGTTGATAAGATTGCTTCTTGTGTAACTTCCAAGCTATCTACAGCATCCAGTCTAAAGAGTAACAGTCATCACAAGAAAGGTTCTGACCAAATGCTGAGCTCAACAAGGAGGATTCATACTTAGGAGGGTCCTTACATACTTTTACAAAGGTGACCTGAAGCAAACTCTTTCTTTTCACAGGGTGCTCCTAACCATCTCAGTACCAGGACCTGTTCAACCCACACTTAGTTCCTCTCTAGAGAGTCCATCTAATAGACAGTATGGAAGATGGTTAAATTGAAAGACAAATGCTGACAATCAGAGTATTAGAAGGTGAAATTCAAAAATAAATAAATAAAAACACCAAAGTACAATCAAAACACCATATCCTGAGAAAGAGTAAACCTAATATTGAAAAGTTGTGTATCATCAGAGCCCAAGTGTGAATTTTAGTCATCTCGGAGGACTGGGCAACCTCAGTCAGTGATCGAGGTCCATGGACTATCACCTAGTCAAGGATCCTGGTCCACAACAGTGCATCTCAGATATATCTTGTGGAACGTCCACACTGCTAAAGCCTGACCAAAAATGACTACCAGAAACCAGTCAGCAGTCAGAGAGGATAAGATTTTTTTAAGTTACAAGGAGGAACTATGGAATGTCACTCAGCTAACAGAAGGAAGTATTACAGGTGGTCGGACTGACACGAATGGAGGGTATCAAGCCACCAGCGAGAAGGGCATCTGCACGTCAATCACTGTTATCAAAGGTTTAGGCAGGCTCCCCATGCCTGGGAGGGAGGTCTGTCTCACTTTCCTTACCAAAACTATCATTAAAAAACCTGGAGAATGTAACTTATGTCCTCTCTCACAGCAACACATGCACACCGACCCTTCACCGTCCACCGGTGATGCCAGGCCAGTATGGGCGTATCAGCCCATGTGCGTCTCACACCTTCGCTCCCCCGCCCCACCCTTCCCTGGACCCTGGGAATGGAAGACAATGTGGGATGGGGCCCACGCCCCTGTCTGAGGTACAGTCACGGCCCCGTGCCCTGCCCTGCTCTGCCCTCTTCCCTACCAAGCTCGGGTGGTGCGGTTTGGGGTGGGGTCTATTGAGGGTCTCCCGGGAGTGGAGCTGGTGACGCGGGCTCAGGGTGTCTGTGCGACGCCTCTGTCCCCCACTCAGTGTGGTGTGGCGTGCCGGGGTGGGGCATTCCTACAACAGAGCTGGGGCTACAGCGTCTCAGCGTCCCTTCCTGACAACAACTGCCCACCCTGGGGGAGCTACAGCTGGTCACCCGCCAGGACAGCTGGAGCCAGGGGCTATTGCTGGTCACAGTCGCTGGTGTGTGTGTGTCTGAGGGTGTGCGAGGGTGGTCGGGCAGCCTTTGGGAGGTGCGGTGGGTGGCGAGGCAGGGAGCGGAGGAGCAGCAGGGGCCCCCAGGCAGCCGGTCAGTGCTGCGGTGGCTGGGGAATAGTGGCAGGGGGCAGGGGAGACAGGCGGCCACTGCCACCAGCTGACAGTCGGATGGAAGCACCGATTGACCCAGGAGGGCCAGAAAGTCCAGGGTGGGGAGGGAGGGAAAGGGGGACGGTGTCAGGCCCCTGAGCCAGTGATGGGGCCTCTGGCTACAGACAGCTGGTGGTTGACAGCGGGAGGGGTGAGGCTGGAGCGCAGACGGGGGCTCCCGCCCATACAGAGGCTGCATGACAGCTCGACAGGAGAAAGCCACGCGCCCCCAGCTGCCCTGGAGACACCCTCTCGTCCGACGGAGGGGAGGGTCCGCGTGCAGTGTGCTGCTTTTACTGGGGAAGCAGGGGCCTGCACGCCTCTCCTCGCAGCTTCCGAGACGACGCCCCATACCTACCTCCAGCCAGCAGTGACAGGCAGCAGGGTTGGGGACAGTGGACATGGGGGTGTCAAGGAAGAGAGGACTGCTGAGTCCGCTTCCCCAGCCCTCCATGCCCCCACACACAGACACACATGTGCGGGCTCACACTCACACGCACACCCACACCCACACGAGCCAGTCGACAGCCTGAGCTAAGAGAGGGGTGTGGGTGGTGGGGGTGGGTCATAGTCGGGAACGTGAACGGTGGCGAGAATGGCTGTAGAAAGATGCATAATTTTGCGTTATCCCTCACAGTGATGGGTTCTCTAAAGATCTTTCTTCCTCTTCCTCCTCCTCTTCCTCTCTTCTTCCTCAGTGGCCGAGCTCTTCTGCCCCCTCGAGACCCACAGCGCTTCTCCCCCTTTTCCTCTTGCTCTGGCCTGAGGCCCCTGCAGGGGGAGGCGGGCTGCACTGGGCTGCACCTACATTCTCCACCACAGCCAGCCCAGGGCGGAGAGGAGGGTCAGGGGCCCTGGGGGCCTGGGGGCCGAGTTCTCCAGGGATCCTGGGCCTGGGGGAAGAGAAAGGGGTTTGAGAGGGTGTCAGAGAGGAGGTGTCTGTCTCCCGGGGACCCTGCCTCTTTTGAACCCACTTCTTTGGGTCCTCTCTGGGCCTTTATCCTGGGCACCTGCTTTTCTTTTTTCTTTCTTTCTTTCTTTCTTTTCTTTTTTTCTCTCTCTTTCTTTCTTTCTCTCTCTCTCTTTCTTTCTTTCTTTCTTTCTTTCTTTTCTTTCTTTCTCTCTCTAGAGGTTTTTGCTATAGGGCATGTGCACTTGCCAGAATGACAGAGAGACACAGAAAGACAGAAAGCGAGAAATCACTCCCCCAGGAGGGATGGCTACGCCACAATCCCTTCTCCTCCATTCTCCTCTTAGGGTCTTAGGCACGCATGCACACACGCCGGCGTGAGTTTAAGCCACTGGGTCTGGGACTCGAACCGCAGTCGACTACGTGGGAGTCCAGTGACATAGCCATGACGCCAACTGCAGGTCCCAGCACCTGCTTTTCTGACTCAGCTCTTTCCATTGTCACTGGCTGGGACTCTCAGAATAGTCTGTCTTTCTGTCTTAGAGACTGTCACCAGTCACCTCACACTCAGCACGCATGAGATGGCCCCGGGCCTCTTTCTCCCCCAAACCGGCTCCGAACCCCACCCCGGAAACCTCTCCAGGTCAACACTCAGCACCAGTCCCACCTGCGCAGCCCAAGCCCAACTTCAGGAGCACCTCTGACTGGCTCCTCTCTCCCGCCCACAGCCAGACACAGCCCTAAACGTCTCTGGAATGTAGACTTGGGGCACCCAGCAGTCTAGGCCAGCCCAGAGACCCCTTGCCTCTCCTTGGGTTCTTCACCCCACTGGGTCACTGTGGCCTTGGTCTCCCTGCCTCCACCTGCCACTGCGCCCATCCCCCCAGCCTATTCCTGAAATAGTAGGTTCTCACAGAGGCCTCCGGGGCCAGGTGACAACACAGCAGTAATACAGCCGGACCCACACGGACAAGGTCCTAGGTTCGCACCCAGGACCTCCCTGTGCATGCCAGGCACACACGCATGTGCTCAGATGGACGTGAGTCTCCCCATCTCTCTGCCACGGAATGAATGAATGAATGAATGAATGAATGAATCAGTACTACTAATAAGCCTCGCATACGCATGCTTAGCAGGAGAAGAGAACCCCAACTCCAAGTCCTGCCTGACACTGGCTTCCACCTTCCCCTTTCACCTCGGTCCCCACGTGACCCCTCTCTCCCTGCTGTGCTTGCATGTGCTGTTCCCTCTGCCTGCAAAGCTCTCCTCGCAGGTCTTGGCCCAGCTGACTCATTTTTAAAAAACGAATTATTTGGGGTGACCAGCAGTTAGCGTAACAGCTATGTTGCTGGACTCCCACGTAGTCGACTGCGGTTCGAGTCCCGGACCCAGTGGCTTAAACTCACGCCGGGCGCGTATGCGTGTGTGCCCAAGATTCTGAGAGGAGAAGGGGTTGTGGCGTGGCCACCCCCCGGCCCGGGAGGTGATTTCCCGCTTTCTGTCTCTCTCTGTCTTTCTGGCGAGCGCACACGCCCTATAGCAAAAAACAAAAACAAAAACAAAACAAAACAAAAAAAACTCTCCAAAAAAATTATTTGGGGACCAGCAGATGGCGGAATGGTTACGTCGCTGGACTCCAGGCAGTTTCAAACTCCTGCCAGGTGAGTGCGTGCATGGCCAAGACCCCAAGAGGAGAATGGAGGATTGCTGTGTGACTATCCCCCTGGGGGTGAGCTCTCATTTCTCTCTCTTCCACGAGTGCACGTGCCCTACAGCAAAAATCTCTCTAAAAAATAATAATTATTTAATTTGATTTATTGTTATTTTAAAATTTGCTATAGGGCACGCGTTCTCACCAGGGACAGAGAGGGAAAGTGAGGAAGCAAGCTGCCAGGTTCGGGGCTCAAGCAGCCTCAAGCAGCCTCCGACCGTGTGGGAATCCAGCGCCTTAGCCACCACGCGGCCTGCTGGCCCCATTCTCCCAGTCAGGCCTCGTTTAAATGGTACTCACTCCAGGAGGCTTCCTCATACCTGCCACTCCTAACCCTCTCTATTATTTATTTTTTCCCTAGCCCTTATGATTTCCATAATTATTTTGTTTATGGATGAGGGGGAGGGTCTTCAAAAAGTTCCTGGGAAAAACAAATTATGAAAAACTACGCATGGAATTAAAAAATAAGTTTGCGCCAAAATAAAACCTGTTTACTTATACCACGAACCTTTCGAAGGCCTCTCTGTGCATGGTTATTTAACTACGTGTCCCCTTGTTTATTGCTTTTCCACTACCCGAGGCCCTGCGCGTCCCCACTTTCCTCTGCACAGCTGCGTCCCCACGCCCCGCGCCCGGCCCGGCCGCTCACGGAACACTGGCTGCCTGGGCTCCTGCTCCGCGGCAGCGCTCGTCTCAGCGCCGCTCCCAGCCCAGCGTCGGGGTCAGCCTGGGGGTGGGGGAGAGGGGTCCCCGCGCCGCGCACTCACGCAGGAGCCGCATGGACGCGCTGGACGCTCCGAGCCGGTTGGCGGCGCGACACGTGTAGTTGCCGTAATGCCGGGCGCTCACGTTGGCGAACAGGAGCATCGAGCGGGTGCGCTCCGTCTGCACCTTCAGGCCCTCCGCCGCGCCGCCGCTCAGCCTGCAGGGATCCGAGTCAGCGGCCGCCGGACCGCGCCGGCGCAGAGCCGGGCCCCCAGACGCAGGCTGCGCCGTTCCCTGGGGTCCCTGCGGTCTAGCCCCGCCCCAGTGACCCCTCGATCCGGTTCTAGCTCCTCACTGAGCCCGGGTCCCTCCGTCGCCGCCCACTCCGGGCATCCCCGCCCTCAGGGACACTGCCCTCTCCAGATGCGCGCCCTCAGTCCCTAGGGGGTTCCCAGACCCGGGAGACGGCAGCCCAGTGGTCCCCTAAGCCCTGCCCCCGGTTCCTCGGCATCGCCCCCCGTCCCCAGACCTTCCTGAATAGCTCAGGGAGACCGAGCTCCCGCACCCAGCATCCTGGGCCCAAGTGTGTCTCCCTCGGGCTCGGGGACCCCATCACCTCCCCCCCGGATCTCGGGGCCCAGGACTCTGAGCCTTTCCGCCGCTTCGCCCCACCCCGCAATCCTAACGGCTGAGGATCCCCCCTCCCTGGGGCCGTCCTCACAGTCTGTCATCCTTGTACCACTGGAAATCCGCGGGGGGCACCGCCATGGCTTCGCAGCGCAGGAGGGCCGCCCGGCCCAGGGCGGTGCGCGCGCTGGTCACGTCCGTGATGGTCGGAGGGTCTGGCGAGGGGCGAGGATCAGCGAATGCTAGCCTCGTGGGCCTGGCCGGGGCTCACAGTTGACTGTGACCAGTACGCGGCGGCTGTCGGGCGCAGAGTTAACCCCGTTGTGAGTCACACACTCGTACTCCCCGGCCTGGCCCCGCTGGATGTCGGAGATCTCCAGGATCTCGCCCTCGGAGGTGAAGCCGTCTGCGGGGGGAGGGGGGAGGGGGCGGGCCGGACACAAACACTTAACACGGGACAACACGGGCACAACACGGACACACATCAGCGGGGCGGGCAGGCAGGGCCTGGAGTGCCCGAGTCAGCAGGAGCCGGGAGGGGCCTGCCAGGCCTGGGATCTGCTGCTGGGGTGGGAACACAGTGGGGCCTAGAGTGCGGGATTCAGGAGATCCGGGGTCTGGGCTCCCGTGACTCAGGTCATGGGGCTCAGAGGATCTTAGTAGGGAGACCAAACCCAGGACTGTGGCTCTTTGGACCCGGAAGGATCCAGGAGATAAGAGTTCCAGTGGGGGAGGGTCCAGAGTTCCCGGATCTAACTCTCCAGGTCTGGGGTTCAGGCGCTGGTGTTCTAGATCAGCAATTCCGATATCTGGGTTCTTGAGTCAGATCTGGGGTCTCAGAGAGCCCACTGGGACTTAGGGCACCCAGGGGTCCCAGACCTCAAGACCGGGATGGTGGGCTCTGATGAGGGGGGGGGTCAGGATCCAGGGGTCTGACATCTAGTAAGTGGGTTCTGGGGTCTCAGGCTAGTCAGTAAATGGGACATAGTGATTGGCACCGCGGATCTCCAGAGACCCAGTGAGCGAGGACCCAGAGCTCTGGGATCTGGTGGTGGAGAGCCAGGTGGAAGGGCTCTGCTGGGTGCCCTGGGCCAGCTCTCTGGGCTGTTAGGCAGGTGGTGGGGTGGGGGGAGCT